TGATGGTACGCTTCACTTGGTTTGGCTGGAAGCCTGCGCGCGCAAGCAGCCTGTATGTTTAACAAGTACTGATCTCGCTACATATTTCTCTCTGTCTCCTTCCTTTAAACAAACTGCTAAAGGGTTTCTTATCAAGCAACGGCTTTGTACATCGAGATTTGGCGGCTCGTAATGTTCTTCTTGGCGAGGACAAAGTTGTAAAAATCTCAGATTTTGGATTGATGCGACAAACCCAAGAAAGCGTTTACAAACTAAAGAAAGGGAAAAAGATACCGGTCAAATGGATGGCACCAGAAGCACTGTACAACAGTGAATACACCACGAAAAGCGATGTGTAAGTTTGATTAGTAATTTAGCAAAGACGAAAGACCGTATTTGACCACATTACCAAACACCGAGAATAGCGGAGTTCAAGCTACGACGCTACCGGAGTATTTTTGACGAACTTTGAGGTGTTTGAAAATGTGGTCAAACTTCTCAATCGAAACTAAAACTAAAGTGAAAACGGAGAAATAAAATCGTAAAAATCCATCCAAATACCGTCATGGTCATGATTTTCTTTGTTTAAAATTGATGAATTGTTAATGAGTTTAAGAATTGTGGTGTAAGGTCACTCTCTTTTCCTTTTTAATTTTTAGCCACTGAGTGAACTACAGAGCTGAGTTCTCGCACCCTATTTCCTTCCTTTCAGAGAAATAATTTCGAAAATTACACCTTTCTCTCCCACTTTCGGCCTTTAAAGAAATGCTGCTTGACTTCCCAGTTTCTCCCTTCAGCTTATCCGGCCATATCCCGTTCTCGACGATCATGAAATATGTGTGGACTATTCTGAGTATTTAACTTCAGAACAAAGGCGTTTTAGCATTGACTTAACTGATGTAATCACTTAAAATGTAGATCGCAGTCGAAATGTTGCGATGTACTGTAGCAATGACTCCCGATATATATAATGATGATATTATCTATTCAATTCTTTGATCTATTTTCCCAGGTGGTCTTTTGGAATTCTTCTCTGGGAACTCTGTACAATGGGTAAGGACATATTTTAATTTCTCCTGACTAATTTTTCCTCCCTAATACGAACTAGATGAAATATATCAACAACGAGTTAGGAACGACCGTGTTTGACCAGATATTAAACACCATTAGGGCTTATGTTCTTTTGTTGAAGCTTAATGAATTGTACCCTGGTCCCAGGGGTTTTTCTTGTTTTTTCTGCGAAAGAGCCGCGAAGCGACTCATGTCCGCCGCTTTCTAACTCGTGTTCGCCGCTTCCCGAAAAAAAGAAAAATCAAGAAAAACCTCTGAGACCAGGGGCCCGTTTCTCGAAGGTTCCGAAAAGTTTTCACACCCGAAAAGCCGTTGCAAAATCTCAAACCTTATGACTTCAGAGCTGTTTTATTCACATATTCTTAATATAAACAGAGGTTCTCTTCATATAAGGAGTTTCAGGCGTATACACCTCTCTGTCTTTAAATACCGATTAACTAAAAATGGCTTTGCGGGCCCGAAAAGTTTCCGGGGCTTTCGAGAAACGGGCCCAGGGGTCCGTTTCTCGAAGGTCCCGAAAAGTTTTCGCACCCGAAAAGCCGTAGCAAAATCTCAAACCTTTTGACTACAGAGCTGTTTTATTCGTATATTCTTAATACGAACAGAGGCTCTCTTCATTAAAGAAGTTTTCGGCGTATACACCTCTCTGTTTTTTGATAAGATTAACTAAAAATGCCTTTTCGGGCCCGAAAAGATTCCAGAGCTTTCGAGAAACGGACCCCTGGGTAGACGAATTGTCAATGAGTGAGAGAAATATAAAAGTGAAAGTGAAGAATGATCATCGCAGTAAATTTTCCAATTTAAGCAATTGGAAAGAAGAAGCCTGAAAAAAAAATCAGGGCTTCAACGGGATT